CCTGATATGTTTAATATGCTGCTGAGAATATAGCCCAGAAGAAGCGTATAGTATAGCTTTTATTTTGGAAAGAGCCATTTCTCTGTAATAAACACTCTTTTCCAAAGATGAGTGATTTCTCGATCAGATAGATTTATTATTTTATCCCTTTGTTGTTTCAGCAACATTAAATAAATAAAAAAAACTGTACGTTTGAGTTAAAATATATATTTATAATTTTAATAAATGACAAATTAAAAAAGCATGAACATTTTTTTGTATCGAAAAATTATCGAACCGTGACAACAGTACCGAACCGAACCATGAATTTTGTGTATCGTTGCACCCCTAGTATATGGATATATATATATACACACACACACATATACACACACACACACACACTCATGTATTAGTCATTCTGTAACACAAGTAATTCTGTTCACAAGTAAGACATATTTAAGTTAAGCTTTGGAATGTGGGAAGCATGCCAAGACAAACCACAGCAGTTTTCACATCCACAGTGCACACAAACTTTCAACTAAAAAGTGAACTTACCCTGGAGAAGTCAAAATGTGGCTCATACTGTCCTCCCACGCCATAGTTTGCAACCTGGTCAGCCAATGACAAAAATGACCCTTAGATAGAGGTGATAAATAAACTCTCCTGTCCACTGAAAACTGAATTATTAACTCATGCTGTTGCTCTGTGTATCATTGAACTTGTGCAAAACAACTAAGCTACACTACATAAGACTACAAATCCAGAAGCCACAAATCTCAGTAATGGCAAAAATAATTAATTGATAAAGGGAAATTATCCCAGCTAATTCTGCATCATTATTTCTAACAGACTTTTGAATTTTTTTTTTTTTATCAATTATTTATATCTCATCTTTTAACATTGCAAACTCCTTTACAATACTTTTAGTGAGTAAGAAACTTTTATTCATGCAACCTTGTCAAAGGTTGTCTTTATTTTTTACTTGATTCATTTGTTTGGTTATATTCATATTATGTGCCAGAGGGGTTTTTATTATTGTTTGTTTGTATTTAAAGCCATGTAAAGGTTATTATTAATTCATATAGAACATATTTATAGCTTGTATAAATATGAATTTTACTTTTAAAAAAGTACATGTCTTGTGTGTGAAGCTGTTGCATGTTTTCAGTATCGGTTTGATGGTTTCATGAGTAAGCTCTGACCACTGTCCTCTAGTGAATTTGGCACTTCAATCAGAATTGCTATACCTCCCTTAGAAACTATGAAAACAGAAAATATCCAACTTATGGAATAGCGATGGTTTGGATTCATCTAATCGTCTAAAGACACTCTTAAATAAACCAGATCAAATCACGTAAAAGTAACAGCATCATTATTTTTTCTTCCATTATTTAAGAGTTAGTATTTAATTTACAAGTTTAAAATAAAGTACAGTAAGTATATGTAAAATGTATGAGCAACTCAAAAGGAACCCCATAGAGTGAGCCCACAGGCTGCTGTGAGATAAAGCAGATGTACAATGTAAACATGGTCAAAGCTGTAAGTGATTATCTGGGGTTAAGGCCTCTATTTGGCAAAGTCACCAGTCTTAGTGGAACCTTTAGGAGTATAGTTATCTCTGATTTCATATGGGACTGCACATTGATATGAAAAACTATATGATGAGATAAGAACATCTGAACTGAATAGGCATGCTTACCTGTTCCTCTTGAAAGAAAGTGACATTTCATTATAAAATTACTTCATATTATTCATCTGTGATTAATTTTCTGCACATGGGGACAACTAATCGCGCCCATCCACATATTACATGCAGTCACTTTAAGGCTTGCAGAAACTAAATGCTCCTGTGTGTGTAGAATTGGAGTAAATGTAAAAACTAGCTCTCAAAGAGACAGAGATGTTAGATATAAAAGACATAACCGAAGTCTCCTGTTGGACTATTTCGTTGTAGTTTCGATAATCTCGGTTTCAGCTGGAAAAATGGATCCAAAGAAGTGATGGTGCACAGGCACATCTGAAGTGAAGACTTAATTATTTAGAGGCTATTCATATATCATTAACTCTACTTTGGGTTATTGAAATCTGGTTAAAAGAGAAATGCTGTAATTTAAAAAATAAATAAA